AAGGCAACTATCTATGTTGCTCTCTTAACTGGCAACACTGTTCCACGTTGTAATGGAAAGAGCACTAGACTTAGGGTTTGAAGACATAAGCTCTTATTCCAACTCTGCCGGTCAACAGTGTTACTTTAGACAAGCCTTCCATAGGCTTTAGTTTCCTTATCTGTATAGTGATGTATGATTACACTCATTAGTGATCTCTAGAGTTTTGCCTAACTTTAACAATCTATTAAAGACTATAATTAAGCTATTGGTTTTGAAATTCACTGGATCCGAATTTGATTTTGGAATTCAATGACCAGGTTCACGTATTCATTCAACAAAAGTACTGAGGATACACTGATGAACGTGTCAGAAAATGTCCCTGCCCCAATGCAGCTTACATTACAGTGGACGAATGAAAAAAAAAAACCCAAAACCTAGACACCAAGAGTAGTAGTACTACAAATGAAATAAGCCATGATGTAATAGAGGTTAACTGGGGCACATGGTTGGACAGTTACAAGATTCAGGGAAGATTTCTCTGAAGAAATGGTTATGAAGTTTGTATAACATGAAGATGGCTATGGCATAATAATACATGAAAAAGAGTAAAATGCAAAGTGGCAATTTAACTACGTTAAAACAATTATAACAATGTAAGGATGCACTGTAACACACATACAGAAAAGTACATGAAACATACAGCTTAATAAATCATTAAAAACCACTCATTAAAGTCCCTCAAGAGTCTTTCCAAATACAACCCTTCTCCCTCCCCATTAGGGATAAGCATTAAGACTTTTTGGTGGTCACTTTCTTGCACAAGACTCTATTCATTTTCATTGCATAAGATTCCACTATATAATTGTACCATTTTATGTTGATGGATAAGCTATGTCCAATTTTTCATGTTACTCTGCACATGTCTTTTGTGGCATATGTACATGCATTTCTGTTGGGATATATCAAGAGTAGAATTGCAGACCTGGGCCTTAGTTTTAAAAGCACGTTTCAGATACCGTATTTCTAATCAAAAGCTCTGACAAAGAAAACATGGCTTAGAATGTCAGGTATGGTGTGGTACCAATATACCTGCTCGATCACAAACAACTAAACTTCAGCCAAACGAGTTTTCATTTTCTTCTACTCACCTGCTATTCCCTCTGTCTGTAACAGTCTTCCCTCCCTTCTCTGCTTAGTTAACTTTTACTTATCCCTAAGGATTTCAGCTTAAGCATCATTGCCTCAGGAAGGCTTTTCTTGTCTAATTCCTCTGTTGTACACTCTTGCCACCACAGGCCTTTCTCCATTTGTTGCAACTGTTTTACACTTTGTTAAACTAATTGTCTATCTTTCAAAAAATACTGGCTCATTAGGGTGCATGTGTGGTCTTTGTTGCACATCATTGTATTCCTGCACCTAGTGTAGTACCTGGCACATAGAAAGGGGTCAATTAATAGCTGATGAATATCTACTATCTCTTCACATTCAAGTTATCCAATTCGAATGCTGTTTCTTCTGAACGTTTCATTCTTGGGGCCATCACCAGTACCATCCTTGGAAAATAAATTTGTATTAGGCTAAAGAGTTTCCTAAGTCCCGTTTAGCAAAGAAGATGGAGTATGAGGGACTTAGCACCTAGGCCCATCATCATCAACAAGAATATTTTCACTGTTTTCTATGGAGACACTAAATTATCAAAGTGTAATTCAGCATAAGGATTACAAAACATATGGGTTGTTTCATTATCAAATGGTGCACACAATTTAAGTGATATTTAAATAGCAATTGATTAATTCCACAAAAGAAAAATCACTATAAAACCAAGAAAAATGTAGAATTTCAATCATTTATCTTCATCAGTGAGCACTTATTTGTGAATAGCACCAAGCTACTTTTATATTAGCTTTTTCTCTTTATTACCAGATGACAAATTTCTCCCATAACCAGTTATTCTGTGTAATTTCATTTGATCCTGTATAAGTACTTTGGTAAGCTATTTTTGCTTGTTTGATTTTTAATAAAAACAGCTCAGTGGCAACTATTATAGAAAAACTAAGGTTTCTACTCCTGATAAATCTAATTTACTTATATTCCAAGTGTTAATTTAACAAAATTATTACAGGTAGGAAAGCTTACTTTCCCCACCCCATAGGCATTAATAACTTTCATATACTCTAATTACAAGTAAATTCTAAATATTTCATTAAAATTTTTTTCATATTAATATCTAACTTAAATCTCAATGATAGCATTAGTATATCATTGAACTGTTCAGAAGGGATGTTTCAGGAATTTTTTCCAAGCACTTGCAAATCGCAAATTAAATATCTTCAAAGTAAAAACTTGTGGATATCTTGCTGAAAATTAGAAAAGTTGAAACCATGGTTACTACTAATACAAAATGTAAAATAGGAAATTATTTTACTAATGCCATCTTAATCATCCTGACATTCTTTCCTTAAATTAACCTCCAAACTGCAACCTCAGCATATCAAAAGAATTTCAAATGAGCAACCTAACCTTAAGCTGCAATAATATATGCTTTGCACAGGGAATAAGTATTCTCTTAACCATTTCTCTTCAGACCACTATACCCCATAAGACACAGTAGGGTCTAAAATTGTTATAAGGAAAGTGTACAGGAAGAAAGTTTGTTATAAGGAAAATGTATTCACAAGCAGACTTTCTTCAAAAAATATAATGATTTCTAGTGCAAAGATATAAGAATGTCTAGTCTTTACTAATGTCAAAAATCATATTTTGGAATTTATTTGAAAAGAGACAACAGATTCTCAAACACACAAAGTACTGTCAGGAGATTAAACAAATGAGGACTAGAGTACTTGTAATTCAGTTTCTAAAGGGAAATTAAAATGTAGTACTAGGTACAGGGTTCAGTTAAAGAAACCTTTTATGAAAGAGGATAATAAAACACTTATATTGTTTATGTGACTAAAATTTCAGAGAAGAGAATACCTGAGTGTGATTTTTGGCTCTATTAAGACTTATTTCAGACTGCCATGAATTGTATTAACACAAGCCTAAATCCTGTAATAGGGCCTTTTAAACACTCTGAGACACCCTATGGTTCCCCATGATGTGTGTTGTTCTCCTCTGCTGCAAAGAACAAAACAAGAAAACCAATTTGTTCAATTACCAAAAAAAACTGTATGGAAGTAAGAAATTTTAAGACAACTTAACAAACGTGTCACAATTTCCTGAAGCCTAACACTAGCTAAAATATGCACTACTGAAAATGTAAAAGATAAATAAATAACAATCATTTAAAAATACTGTTCTGTTGAATATGAAAAATATTGTTTTTATTTGTTTGTAGAAGCATTCTTTTATTCAATGTTTTATTACATCAGAATTTTTTAAATGAACTAAATTTTAAACAATATTTAAACAAAAATATCTACCTCACATTTTAAGTCAATGCAAATTTTCACTAATTTAGAATATTAATATATTAATATTGGGGGAATTTTTGGAAACAGATATATATAAAACTGTCTTATAGACCTTAGAAATTAGCAGGTTTAGTAATGGTTCATAAAACTTTACAAATCTCCCTAAACTGTATTTTAATACAAAGAAAATTATATATAGACTTTGATTTATATTCAAAATTTCAGTTATTTTATAATCAATTTAAAACAGAAGTAAATGTCTCATAATTCTTTTCTTTTTTTTTTGAGGATTAACATTCATCAGGATTACTACAACTGAAAACACTTAAAACATGTATACGCACACACAGACACCTAGAAGAGACTATCTGGGTAATTGTTTTAAAAATACTAGTGAACTAAAAATTAGGTTGGAAATCATGATTTAAAATCAATATGACATAAAATATTATTATATATAAATTCAAGGAGAGGACATTGTAGTCAGCTTACCATTATTAGCTGTAGCAGTACTGTATCTTGCACACATTTACAAGTCATGTTTTCAAACTAACAATCTGTTTTAACTGCTCTGCTCATTAGCACATGAAGACATTGGCTGAGCTTGAAACATTATAAATTGTATTTATATATATCCTAAATTGGACAGGTCCCAAGATTAAATGCTGTTATTTTTAAATACTTTTTTAGAACACAAATATCTCATTTTATCTTACATCATCAGGAATAAACGTGATTCACATAAGTGAACTTTTTATTCACATCTTAAAGAAATGATAGCTTAAAAAAATTTTAAACCATCTTTTTGATGGAGTTGGTCCTAAAATGCCTTGACTTATTGCTTAGTAAAATTCTACTGCCTGGTGTGGATCCCTAAGCTTTCTGAGGAAGATTTCAGGGTCAACACTATGACCATCAAATATAATAATCTACTATAACAAAGTACTGATCTCAGAAACTCCTGAAGTATGACAAATGTTCATTTTACAGTTGCTGCTTCTGTAGCTGTAGATCCTTCCTCACTATTCCATATTATTTTAGGTTCTAGAGGTTCTATCCTTCTGTTGCTTCTAATCTGTTTTCCTAAACTTATTTAAATAACCAGCATTATGTAATTTTTCCACATTATTCTGGCCCAAAGGTAGCTCCATAGTTTTCCTTAAAATAAGCTTTTTTTTCTCTTTTTCAGGTAGGGGAAGGGAGAGGGGAAATGGAAGAGAGATAGGCTTGATATTTTGCTAATCTGTAGGCTTACTTCAGAGTTGCTGGATATTTCCTGACAAATCAGGTTGCTAAAGGAATACATACCAAGAGGTGGCCACGTTATCATATTGAAGACAGCAGTTAAGTCTTCCAGCTGAGACCAGAAAGGATAATATAATAATATGCTAATGGTTATTAGGCATTTGCTATTTTATCGATATAAATTATTTTATCTACTGTACAAACTAAGATTAAACATACATCTACAGTCTATGAAATTATTTGCCAAAAAAATTTCTCTAGTTAAAATTTAATACTTCCCTTTGCAAATATTATTGTATTCTTGTTAAAGAGTACCTGATACTTGTTAAAATATCAAGTAATACAGGACAAGGTGTTATAAAAACAAAACACACAGCTGGGAGGCATTTTATTTTCTTCTACTTCATATAACATTGTTCAGGACCACAAGACTCTAACGGTCTCTTTCCAGCAACTTTTATGACTTCGGAGTACCACTTAAAAATATTTACTGATGCTATAAATATTACTGTTTTTCTACATATTGACAATTTTAATGAATGCCATATCCATCATACCTCTTGCTTTTTTGGTCAGAAAGATAAACAGAAACTTTAAATCAAATGTTTAGACATTCAAAAGTGGTTTTTAAAAGCACACCCAAACCAACCAAATCTACATCAGCAACTGTTATTAGTTTCAATTGTTATTATTAAGAATTCTTAACAAGGACATACTGACTGAAGCATGTATGAGATTTTTTAAATTATATATAATTTAAAAGCAAAATTAAATTTATAAATAAAAAGATTAATGGCCAAATTAAATAAATTTTAAGCATCAGATTTAAAATATCTTAATTTTTAGGTTATTCAGAAATACATTTTGTGAATAATAAGAATTACTTCATAAATATATATATATAAATATCTATCTACAGGATCTGCAATGCAGGAGAAAACCCTTTAAAGAAAAAAATTGCACTTTTGGATTATCAGGATGCTGTCATATTTACCCTTCAAGTGAAATATAATTACCATTCCAGGTGCTTTTGGCACAAGTTTTTAGGAGAATATTGACACAATCTTAAAAACACAATGCTTTTATATTTTATTCACTGGAATATGATGAATCAAACAGTATTCAGAATTCTGACCAAAAATATTCAGGTAACTGCAATTGCTTAATTAAATACAAAAAAAAATTGTTTTAAAAAGACTTTAGACTGCCTTTACATCTGGAACATGTAAAATTTTACCAGCAATACGTTTTTTTCAATCCCCTCAAGCAAGAATTCCCAGCCTACACAGAAAGGTAACATTGTCTTTTTCTACTCATATATGACTTAGATCACACCCCAGTATATAAGGACAAAAAATAAATGTATAATAAAAAGATTGGATAAATCAGGAGAGGCTTTTTGGTCTTGAATTCTTCACCCACTAACAATGAAGCAGCACTGTAGGCAGCCCAAAACACACCAAAGAGCTTTAAAAAAACAAACAAAAAAGACAAAAGGCAGCATATTAGCAAGTTAATTAACATTTTGGGTATCATAAAAATAACATTTACAGTAGTTTTTTAAAACAACCCTAACAACCAATTGTAGAAGCAGTAACACTTATTATTAAACACTTATTTAAAACTTGTTAGGAATATTCATCCTTGCTCTGCTCCCTGACATCTGCAAATGAAGTCTTTTGTTATCAAACTTGTCTAATCAATAGGAATCACCTTGGGTGCCTATTAAAAAAACAGAATCCTGGGATTCATTCTAGTTCTACTGAATCAGAATCTCTAAGGGAAGAAGGGTCTAATTAACAGACTTTTTAACAAGTGTCCCTGGTGACTTAAGATACGGCAACTTTCGGAAAAACTATTATAGGGATAGGCAGCTGAAAGATTATTTGTTTCCTGAAAGAAAACAAATTGATCTTCACAAAATAGAAATTTTTCCTTTTTTTTCCCCAAGAAGTAGAAAAACATATTAAGTGAAAATTTTACACAACATTTATTAAGTATCAAATCATTTTCCCAGGACAAGGTAGAAGTACAGTGTTACATGGAAAGGAGGAAAACCATAACATTTTGGTTGAGTTTTCTTTTTTTTTTAATGTTTGAAAATTTTTCATAATAAAAAATTTTTTTTTGCTTTTTTAAAAAATTGAAGTATAGTCGATGTCCTAATGTATAGCACAGGGAACTATATTCAATATCCCATGGTAAACCATAATGGAAGAGAGTTTTCTGATTATGCACGTGCTTAATTTTAAATTATTTCAACTAGAAATTTATATAATACTTACCAATATAGTCACTGAGGGCATTTTACAGAATAAAATGTAACGGTAGAAATCAGGGAAACTATGACAGAAACAGACCTGGCACAGATCAGGGTTTCTCAACCATGCACTAATCAAATTTTTGAGCTGGAAAATAGTTGTAGGAAGTTGTCCTGTGCACTGTAGGATGTTTAGCAGTATCCCTGGCTTCTAGTCACTATATACTAGTGCCATCCCAGCCCTCCCCATTTGTGATACCCAAAAATGTCTCCAGACATTGCCAAATGTCCTAGGGGGGCAAAATTGCCATCAGTTGAGAACCACTGGTACAGAGGTAAAAAATAAATACTGGCAGACTGACTGAAAATGTATTTGAGATGGTTCGATTTTATATTGTGCTTTTGAAACTAAAAACATACAAAAAAACCTGCAAGATATTTTAAACCTACAAAAAAGTATAGGGAAATAAATGAAGTAAAATTATAATCAAATTGCATTTGTATGGCATGATTAAATTTTTTTGTAAATAAATGGTTAAAGATTGGTAAGAGTTACAGAGATTTAATGTTTAAAAAATTAGTGCTTGTAGATTAAACTGTATTCTAATGCTAGAGTTAAGTGATGAGAGTTTTGCAACATTATTTCTCAGCAAACTTTGGACTAAAACAAGAAACATGTAAAACAGATTGCTACACAGAGAAGATTAAGTGATTA